CTGCAACCAAGGTACATGCCCTTGACCGGAATCGAACCTGGGACCCTTGAGTCCGCAGGCCGACGCTCTATCCACTGAGCCAAACCGGTTAGGGCTTCCTTTTCTTTCTTTCTTTCTTTCCCTCAAATGGTGAGTGAGCAAGGGATGCCACTCGACACAAACTTCAGGGAATAAGGGGAAACGTGACTGTTTCTGGGCTCGTGCCACTGCCCCCCTTTCAGAAGACGGGTGGTTCTAAATAAAACTGGTTATCCCAGCAGGTGGTTCCTATCATGCCACTAGTTCCTGTAGCAATTTAACCCTGAAGAATAAAGTCTGTGGGCAACCCTGGAAGGGTTGTAACGAGAGCACACACCTCGGTTACAGGCTCCTCCCCGGCCCGTGCCCTGGTCGGGGCTCATGCAGGAGGCAACCAATCGATGTGTTTCTCTCTGTCTCTCCCTCTCTCTTCCACTCTCCCTAAAAGTCAATGGAAAAATGGCCTCAGGTGAGGATTAACCACAACAACAGGTGCAACTGGACCCAGCCCGGGAGATGGGCAGAAGCCCTGGCACCTCTCCTGAGTGACAGCCTGGGGCCCCGTCTTCCAGGCCAATGTGAGCCCAACTGTGCTGTCCTCCAGGTCCCTTCCCTGCGTCTCTTCCCACCCTGCATCCCCCCCCCTCCCCCCTGCCTTCCCATGGAGCAGCCAGGGTCTCTCTGGACAGCGCCCTCAGCTCCCAGAGCAGGTGCTCTCTACAAGCATCCAAGCTCTATTGCTTCCAACCTTACAACGTTGTTCCTGTTCTCTGTCCCTGGAAGATAATTTCAAATCTGCAGAGAAATCTGAAGACTCCTTCCTCCCAGGCCCCCACCCCAAACCTTGTTAGTTGGGATCCAGCGCTTTATTCCACAGCTGAAGCCCGTCCACATGCCACGGCGTCCCAGTTAGCACTCAGGGCTCCTCAGAGGAGCCGCCCTCGCCCAGTGTCCCCTGGGCCTGGTGGCCCCCAAGCCCTGCTCTAGGGTCTTGATCGAATCGATCACCTTTTTCATTTTTCTAAAATCGTTTGGATAATCCTCAATTTTTTTTTTGAGGATTATTTTTCCATTGATTTTTAGAGAGAGTGGAAGGGAGAGGGAGACAGAGAGAGACATCGATGTGAGAAAGGCACATTGATGGGTGCCTCCTGCACGCCCAGGTACATGGATGCCCTTGACTGGAATCAACCCCAGGACCCTTCTGTCCGGGGACTGACGCTCTATCCACTGAGCACACTGGCCAGGGCTCTTCAGAAAGTCTCTTCTTGATTTTGCAACCAGAAACCATCCCCGGAGGGAGGCCCTGAGGCTGCTGTTCAGGGTCTTTCTCCCACTTCCCCTCACCCACTCCCTCCCTCGGATGGGCCTCTGGTGCATGACTGATTATCACCGACCCAGAGAGAAGAGAAGCGCTTACCTTCACCATTAACCCGTCTGCTAAGCCCTCACCCAGGCGGCCGTGGAGTCACTTCTGTCCCCTCTCCCCTTCCCAACGTCCTGCCCTTTTACAAAGACAAACACCAGCCACGTGGGAGGCCCACGGCAGCAGGCGGGGAGCCTGGGTCTGGCTTTGCAGCTTAATTTTTAACTTCACGTCCACGTTCTCACTGGCAGGGGGTGCATCTCAGAAGATGGCACCATGTTTTTCTGCTTTGAACTGTGCCCAGAGCCGAAAACATCAACAAGACTTTTTCCTGAAGGGAAGGCGGCCTGGGGCTGGGCGAGGGGAGGCCAAGCCCACCTTCTAGTGTTTTCTGTGGCCTGGGGCGCGTCACGGAGCCTCTTTGAACTGATTTCTATGTCAGTAAAGAAGGGTTATCACGCTCAACTGAGGTCAATGAGCAAATCAAATGAGATACACGTGCTCATGGAAGTGGGTCGTCAAGAAGTGAGAAGTTACCCGGCCGGCCTGGCTCAGTGGCTGAGCATCGATCAAGGAACCAGGAGGTCAGGGTTCGATTCCCGGTCAGGGCACAGGCCCGGGTTGCGGGCTCCATCCCCGGTGTGGGGCGTGCAGGAGGCAGCCGGTCCATGATCCTCTCTCATCATTGATGTTTCTGTCTCTCTCTCCCTCTCCCTTCCTCTCTGAAATCAATACAAATATATTTAACATAAAACAAACAAACAGGTATCTGTAATTTATAAATATCAAGAGTGATGTAGCAGAAAAGATGAGCGAGTCTCTTAACAACTAGATCTCTCTGGCCTGGGTTAAGCAGCTGTTTCCAGTCAGAGCAGGGCAATTCCCCTCTTTTCTTCTTTATAGAATTTACTGTGCTCCAGGCACGGAGCTGGCTTCTGAGAGTAGCAATGTGTTTAATCGCTAACCTTTTACTCCACAGAGTTCAGAGTCCACGGCGTGAGGCAGGACATATAGACACTGGGGTGGGAAGTCATGGAAACAAACAATTCAGTAGGGACACTGCCAACCACAGGGGTCAGCGGAGGCCTTCCCGTAGGAGGCGGCATGAATGGGTCAGTAACGCGGGAAGGGAATGAGTCAGCAACCTGGGAAGGGCCTTGGGAAGCCGCCGGGTGTGGGAATGAGGACTGTTCAACACGCCTGGGGATTAGAGTGAAAGGCGTGAAGGGAATTTGGTGAACTGGCTGGAAACATGATAAACAGTTATTTTAAAAAATCAGTTGCTTTTTCCAAAAGTAGAAGGATTTAGTCAGGAACAGAGAGAGAAAGGAGTTTTTATCAGTCCTTAGCAAGAGTTGGGCACCTATAAAGGTGGTAAAAAAAAAATTATAAAACTGCCCTAGCTGGTTTGGCTCAGTGGATAGATCGTCGGCCTGTAGACTGAAGGGTCCCTGGTTCAACTCTAGTCAAGGGAAATGTCCAGGTTATGGGCTTGATCCCCAGTAGGGGGTGTGCAAGAGGCAGCCAATCCATGATTCTCGCTCATCATTGATGTTTCTCTCTCTCTCCCTCTCCCTTCCTCTCAGAAGTCAATAAAAAATATATTTATAAAAATAAATGTTAAAAAGTTATAAAACTAAACAAAAACATAAATAAAAAACCCAACACGTATAGCCTATACATGTGAATATACATATGTACATTTATCTATGGTGCATGTGTAGACATGTATGTATACGTATGTCTATGTACAGACACACACACATAGAAATGTGAGAGCCCGGCCCACCCTGACCCACGGGCACACTCAGCACTGGGATCAGTTTCATACGCCCTTCCTCTCTGAAGTCAATAAAAAATATATTTAAAAAATAAAAATTTTAAAAATTATAAAACTAAACGAAAAGATAACTATAAAAAGCCCAACACGTATAGCCTATACATGTAGAATTATGTGTGTGAATATACACATGTACATTTATCTATGGTGCCTGTGTAGACATGTACATATATGTGTGTATATGTACAGACACACACACACACACACACATAGACATGTGAGAGCCCGGCCCACCCTGACCCACGGGCACACTCAGCACTGGGATCAGTTTCATACGCGGATTCATTTGAGAAGCGCCGTCAGGGACGTGGAAGAAAATTGTGAGAGAGAATCACTGACCAGCTGCCTCCTGCAGGCCCCACCCTGGGGATCGAGCCCACAACCCAGGCATGTAGGTAGGTGGATGCTCAACCACTGAGACACACGGGCTGGGCCGTGCAGTCCTTTTGCTCTAAGTGCCAACCCCACTGTTACAGAATTTGCCAGGCGACTGAAGAATACACAGGAGTCCTTGGAGACACAGGAAAAACTCCTTTATTTTCAGATGTTTCCCATGTACCAGTACAGGACTCAGGGGAGACTGCTTCTCTCCAAATCCTGAGCAAGCCAATATGGGGGAAGCTCTCCCTTTATTCCCTTTGGTTTCCTTGTCCCCCAAATATGGATGGGACTTCTGGACCTTTCACGGGCTTTGCAAAAAGCCCAGTGTGTTGGGATGGGGGCCAGAAGACCTCATCCAAAGGCCTGGCCTGGCGTCAGCGCTGATATCCGCTCCGGGGGTTGTGTATGGTTCATGGTTTGTGCGTATTTAGGTAAACCGGTCTTGTCTTGAAAGACCAGATTGTGGAGAAAGGAGCAGTGACTTAATTTTAGGCTATTGAGAATGTACACTGGGTTACTGGCACAGATTCAGATTGCTCGCTCCCCCAAAATATCTTATTTTCCCCATCACTACGGTGGCCTGGAGCCTCCCATGGCTCCCGGCTCCCAGCTGGGTGCTGACTGTTGGTGATGCTGACCAGTGTCTGACCCTGCAGAGCGACGCTGAGGGGGAAAATGAGGGCGGAGGTCTCCAGCCCTTTCCGCCGCCCCCTTCAGAGCAGTGATGAAAGAATAGGGACCTAAAAAATAGCAAAAAATACAATAACATCCGCCCAAAAGCTGATGGCTCCCGATGGGGTTGGTCAGTGGCCACGGCAGGAAGAGCTGCAGTTGGGCCTGTGGGCTGTGCCCCTCGAGGACCTCAGACGCTCCTGCTGGCCCAGAACCAAGTGAGGACTTCTCCCTTTTCCTTGTGGCTGTAGAAGAAGGACTTTGACCCACCTCTCCCTGCCCTGCCAGGCCCAGCCTAGCCACCTGCAAACACTTAGGGCCATTTCCTGGTTTACTCCCCAAATCCAGCAGCACCCCGCCCCCCCACTACAGGCAGTTTCATTTCTACTTGAGTCCTGCCCAGGACTTGGGAAGTGGATGCTCCAAGCGACTCCCTCCAGCGAGTGTGTGGCGTTGGTGGTAGCCCAGGTACTGGGGAGGGTCTGGGCGGGTCTCCCAGGGAGGGTGATGACACCCGGTATGTGGATGGGAGGGGGTACGGTGGGGGGCCCAGGTGGCAGGGAGGGTCGTGTTTCAGACACCAGGGCCTCTGGACTCTGTGCCTCCAGGCCCCTGCCCTGCAGCCTTTCCCTGAGGCTGCTTTCGCTTCCACCAAAGTCCAAGCTGATCCAACCTCAGGAGATCTGGGTGCGAGGCGGGGGGAGTGGAGGCCAGGACAGGCCCCCGGGGCCCCTGGAGGGCAGGTCCTGTCCTGGGGACACAGCCCAGCCACAGAGGACCCCAGTGTGTCCCCGGGAAATCACCGCCCGGGAAGGGACTCTGAGCAGAAACTCTCTGTGGCTCCGGAGGCTGCCTGGTTACAGAGGAAGAGGGGCCCAGTGGTCTCAGGGATTCCGGGTTGTGTTCCCTCCATTGTCAGGTCCAGGAAGGTCGATCTGCAACCTGCCCGCCTCCCTCCGCTCCCAGGAGGGCAGGCCTGGCTCTCCAGGAGCTGCAGCCCCGTCCAGGGTCCCAGGGTCCCTCCTTCACTCTCTGGTTCCTGGGTCCTCCCTGGAGGACCTTGGGGTCTTGTCTTCCCATTTGCTCCCCCTCCCCTCGTCCCCCAGGGTTCCAGGGGCCTGGAACGTCTCCTGGGAGACAGTCCTGGCTGGAGGAGAGGTCACCTGACTGGGCCTCCAGAACCCGCCCCTCTCTGCCCAGCCCAGGCCTTTCCTTTATTTAAAAAAATCCTTGTATTGATTTCAGAGAGGAAGGGAGAGGGAGAGAGAGAAACACCGATGATGTTTCTCCTGCACGCCCTCCCACTGGGGTTCGAGCCTCTAAGCCAGGCATGTGCACTGACCAGGAATGGAGCCATGACCTCCTGGTCCAAAGGCTGACGCTAAACCACTGAGCCAGCCGGCCGGGCGCCTCTCAGGTGAGGGAGGCCTGCAGGGACTCACTGGGTCTCAGGTGCCGTGTTTACCTCGGGTTCATCCTGGGTGGGTTTCCCTGGAGGAGATTTTTTCTATTGTTTCTTCCAGAGAAAGGAAGGGAGGGCGGCTGGAGAGGAGGAGAGAGGGAGAGAGAGAGAGAGAGAGACCTCAGGATGGAACCCGGGACACGTCAGTGCGCAGTGGATGCTCTAACTACTGAGCCCGCTGCCCAGCCTTTGTTCTCTGTGGGGGGCCGTCGGGGGAAAGGCTGGGGGTGCGGAGGCTCAGCAGGTCCACAGTCGCTGCTTCAATGGAATCTTCCTGATCCACCCAGTTCCTTAAGTTGCAAAGAAACGGTCCTGGAACCAGTTATTCCGATTATTCCTCGTGCTCCTCAGGTGGGAGAGTCCCCCGGGCCCTCACTGGGTCCCTGGGAGCATCCCACCTCGCTCTCGCCCTCCCTGTGTCTGGGCTCCAACACCAGCTCCCCCTGATGGATGGTCTCTATTGGGGCTTCCTGCAGCCCCCGGTGGCCATGAAGCAATGGAAATGTGACCAGTCCTACCCGGTGAGGCTCAGTGGAGAGAGCCTTGGCCTGTGGACTGAAGGGTCCTGGGTTCGATTGCGGTCAAGGGCACGTACCTTGGCTGCAGGCTCCTCCTCAGGCCCAAAGCCTGGTCAGGGCTCATGCAGGTGGCAACCAATTGATGTGTTTCTCTCACATCGATGTTTCTCTCTGTCTCTCCCTCTCTCTTCCACTCTCCCTAAAAATCAATGGAAAAAATATTCTCAGGTGAGAATTAAAAAGAAAGAAAGAAAGAAAGAAAGAAAGAAAGAAAGAAAGAAAGAAAGACAGACCAATGATGAGAGAGAA